GCACTTGTTACTAGTAGCGTGGCACTTGTTTCTACTAGCTTCTTGTTACTACTAGTAAGGCACCTGTTACTACTAGCGTGGCACTTGTTTCTACTAGCTTCTTGCTCCTACTAGTAAGGCACTTGTTACTAGTAGCGTGGCACTTGTTTCTACTAGCTTCTTGTTCTACTAAGCATGCTTTTGGTTTTTCACATGTTTTTCTTGTTGCTGAGCTGAGCCCTGGCACTCTCCGCTCTGAGCCGAGAAATCGACGCGAGAAGAAAAAAAGAAGCGAACAGAATGGCAAGAGTGCCAACCTAGAAGCAATGGCCGCCACCCCAATAGCGACAGCCTCCAACCTACTAGCGATGGCCCGAAAAGCGATAGCCTTCACCCTACTAGCGATGGCCACCACCCCAATATGGCCTCCAACCTACTAGCGATGGCCTCCAACCTAATAGCGATGGCCTCCAACCCAATAGCGTGTGCCAATTTGCAGATTCATATTTTGACCTTTTTGATTCAGTTTGTGTTGTCCTTTTGCGACAAGATGTTGCGATCAAGTAGCCCTAACAGCAGATGGCAGTGGTCAAAACAGGAGATCCTGCTTGGCCACCGAAGATGGACTCAATTGCTTGGGAGGTCAAGCTACCAGGGCTTTGGAGCTCAAGGTTGTGACCAACCACCATATGAATGCACGCTCATCTAGGTTCCTCTCTTTAAGTCCAATTGAAAGATACACTTTTTGAATGGACTCACAAGAAGCTACTAGGGGCTCCTGGCCTTACTACTAGGAGCAAGGACGCTACTAGGGGCTCCTGGCATCGCTACTAGGAGCATGCTTTCTAGTTTCTTCTTTATAGAATGGACTCACGCCCGGGTGCCGCTGACCCCGATTCGGGGGCCCTGCAACATTCCTCACGGCCAAAGTAAAGTAGTTGTACTGCCAAGGCGGCAATATGCTAGTAGCGATGGCCCGGCCTCCACCCTAGTAGCAATGGCCTTTAACAACATAACGTTTTGCAAACGAAGGCGTTCGAAGCCAAACGACACAGGGAGACAAAGATGCCCAGCGCCATAAGTCAAAACCATTGCCTTAAGGCTCGGCAAAATGTTTCAAGACGGGTCAAGCTTCGGTACCAGTGCCGTTTGCCACAGCCGTAGCCCATTTACCTTTGTGTGCAAGAGTGGGAGCGGGTGGTAGCCGGCAGTTTCGAAATAACAAGCCCAGGATACCAACTCTGCAATAGGGTTGGGGTAGAGAAAAAGACACGTGCCCACATATGTGCAAGCGTGACAACGCCGCAACAAGCAAAAAGAACCAGGGAACTTGCTTCGGAACCCGCTCAGCGCCACACTGTGTGGCCCGACTTCAACATCTCAGTGTGACAGTGTGTAAGTGCGGCCCATGCCAGCGCGCATGACAAGATGCCGGCGTGACACCACGCAAGTGTATCCATACTCTAGGAGCAAGGACGCTACTAAGGAACAAAGGGCATCGCTTCTAGTAACAAGTGCCTCGCTACTAGTAACAAGAAGCTACTTGTAACAAGTGCCTTACTAGTAGTAACAAGAAGCTAGTAGTAACAGGTGCCACGCTAGTAGTAACAAGTGCCTTACTAGTAGTAACAAGAAGCTAGTAGTAACAGGTGCCACGCTAGTAGTAACAAGTGCCTTACTAGTAGTAACAAGAAGCTACTAGGGGCTCCTGGCATCGCTACTAGGAGCGATCGGACGCTACTGGCTCCCGAACAAGGTGTGTTTGGAAAGAGTGGCAAGTGCGCCACCAAAAGATCGGCCCGGCTTAGACTGGCTCAGGGGTGGGCGGATTAACATAAACCATTTGACAAAGGGCATCGCTACCAGCTAGAAGCTACTAGGAACAAGTGCCACGCTAGTAGTAACAGGTGCCTTACTAGTAGTAACTAGAAGCTACTAGTAACAAGAGCATTTCTACTAGGAGCAAGGACGCTACGAACGTAGCTCCTGGCAGACAACTGAAGCTTTAGTGTTCGTTTCGTGGTTCACAGCTTCAGGGTGTTCGGACGCCATGGCCAGGGATTTGCAGCGCGTGGATGACTTGAACTTTGGTGACCCGAAGTTTCAATGTAGAAAGGAAAGCAAGAAGATAGGAAAAGTAGCACACTTTTGATGAAGAACAGCTCTTAAGGCCGGCTCAGAATAGAAGAAAAATAAGTGAACAGTGTAACAAATGAGAGAATAGTTAAGGAAAACCACTTTTTGCCGCGCCGCAGGATGTAAATTCGTGCGTCGACGCTCCAAAACACCGATACTTGTGAACAAAAAACACCAACATGTGGGCCTTTTGGGCCCTTTTCTGATGCAAATAGGCGCTGAAGATACAGATTTCCTTACATTAGAGTAGAACATCAATGAAATTAATGCAAACAAATCGATAGAGCGGTTAGAAAGGCCATAGGCCTGATAGGCCCGAACTCGGGTTTGATAGGGACTTGGCGGATCGGTGCAGCTTGGAAACGAAGGTCTGAATCTAGACAAACATAGAGCACAGGTCTTTAGCAAAAACAAATAAAGACCACATACAACAGATCTAGAAAGGCCTGAAGGTATTTAAAACCAAAAGGGAACCATAAAAGAAGCAGAAACGGTTCAAACGATTGAAGATGGAACCGGCAAAAAGGAAGAACCAAAAGGATAACAGGAAACACATTTGGACATCTAAAAGCGAAACCAAGAAAAGCTGAGGCTTGAAGAGTGTACCACACAGAGACACACATGCATGTTAGTTGAGAAGACTATACACACGCATACACGTTGCGTCCAAAGTGTATCGCACAAAGGTACATTAGTTGAAGCAGCCGGCACAGGGCCCGAGCCTCACACGACAATCATCAACTTGTTTTCTTTCTGAGGAAGTTTCTGTGTCAAGACATGTTCAATTATTGTTGTATTCTACTCAATTTTCTTTGCTTCATTCTATTCCAGATCTAAGACCTTCAAGATTGTCTTTGTTACAGGATTACTGTTGCGTCGCTCGTGTATGGCAGCGCATGACTGCATGACTATACAACAGTTTGCTGCAAAGCTAGTTTCATCGGATTTGAACCTATGACGGCACTGTAGGGCGCTGTAGGGTGTTGGACGTGTTCTATCCCCGTTTGTTTCATGCATTAGCTTCTTGTTACTACTAGTAAGGCACCTGTTACTACTAGCGTGGCACTTGTTACTAGTAGCGATGCACTTGTTACTACTAGCTTCTTGTTACTACTAGCATTGTGCCGTGGATGTTTGGCAGGGCTCTGGGTGTTGCAAAGCGACGACCTGTGACGGCCGCGGGGATGCAGTTGGGCGGACAGCCTGGACGCCGTCTAAATATAGGCCATCGCTTCTAGGAGCAAGAAGCTATTAGGGGCTCCTGGCATCGCTACTAGGAGCAAGGACGCAACTAGGGGCTCCTGGCCGTACTACAAGGAACAAGAAGCTACTAGTAGCAAAGGGCCTTGCTACTAGGAGCAAGGATGCTACTAGGAGCACCTGGCATTGCTACTGGAGCATTCGCTTCTAGGCTGGAGGCAATCGTTAGTAGGTTGGAGGTCATCGCTACTGTTTTCGTGCTAGCGAAGACTCGCTCGTTGATTTGCTCGTGGGAAGGAATGGAATTGGACTCGCTCATGCGCTTGATTTTTTTGCTTTTGGTAAGGTGACGCAAAGAGGAAAACATGATGTAGCCTACCCCTGTCTAATCCTTTTGCAGCCATCTCTCTCTCCCTATCACATGTATCTTTCAGGTGTCCTTGTGGGCGCTTGGCTTACTATTGGCGGCCTTCGCAAAAGGCACGCGACCCACCGACACACTCAATTTGCGCATGGCGCGCGCGTCGCGATCGAGCAGACAAATATTCTTTGTTTGATTATGGAGATGGCTTCCAAACGTGTCAGGATTTTCTGTGCTGTTCAGTTTTCTTCATCTCTTGTCCTTTTTTGGAGCGTCTGCTCTGTCACTTGCAACATCATGCCACAGCGCCCGAAAAGCCCCTGCCGGAAGGTTTTGCTGTTGACGACGTCACTGCCGAGACATTTAGCTTAGGCCTGCGACCATATGTGCCTCACAAGAATGGCAGACAGTGCATTCGTCTTCTCCTCTTCGAGATATTCTCTTCTTCATTTTCTTATCTTTCATTGCCCTTCCTTCTTTTCTCGTCTTTCTTTTCTCTGTATATTCCCTTTGTTTTATATTTCAGCATTCTCTATTTTAAATGTGTATTGAACACTTTACTTCATTTCTCTTCTTGCATTTCTCTTCATTCGCTTCTCTTCATTCTTTTCTTTGATCGTTCTTTTTCTCTTCGCTTTTCTTTTCTTTTGATCACTTCCTTATGTTTTCTTCAGATTGTTTCTCTTCTTGCTTTTAGTTTCAATCTTTCTCGTCTTGGTATTCCTTTTTCTTGATTCCTTTCTTTTCTGTTTCTTTGTTTCTCTTCTTTGTGTTCCTTTTATTTGCTTGCTATTCTCTCTTTGCTTCTTTTTCTTCCGTAGTAGTAGTAGTAGTAGTAGTAGTGGGTAGTAGGTAGTAGTAGTGGGTAGTAGGTAGTAGTAGTGGGTAGTGGGTAGTGGGTAGTGGGTAGTGGGTAGTGGGTAGTGGGTAGTAGGTAGTAGGTAGTAGGTAGTAGGTAGTAGGTAGTAGGTAG